CCCACGTGATTTTCTGTCTCTGGAAACCTGCTAGAGTCTCGGTTGTGAGTCGCTTCCAGCCTGACGGGCTGTAACAGTGACGACAGGTGGTAACAGGAGGAGACTGCCCATCTTCTCACGGAGTTGCTGGTGGTCAGACACACACAAGGCTCCCCAGTTTTCGGGTGACCACGGTCCACCTGGCATCTGGATTGCACCCTCATGGACTCTGAGCCTGAGCTGGGACCACCAAGGGAAACGGTCCGCGTCCCAGACCCCAGGAAGGCTCACGGGGGCTGTCACAGGGTCCACGGGGGGGGGGGGGGGGGGGGGGGGCGATGCTGCTGACTCAGGCCACACCTCTCTGGTGGGCTGGATCCACCAGGGCCTCTAGGGGACAAAGATGGGCAGCTTCCTCTCCCGTGACTTACAGAGTCAGAGGCCCCAGTGGAGGGGCAGCTCTGAGGCCCTTCTGACTGGACGTCCAGGAGTTCATTGTCACTCCTGTCTTTCGGGTATAGTAACGACGCATTCCTTCCAACTTCTTCTGATGCTTCCTGGCTCACTCGAGATTGTGCCTGTTTTCTCTCTCAGTGGTTTGAACTTGATTTTCAGTTCTTCCAACCTGACAAATGCTGAGCAGCTTCCCCCCTTTCATTCTGCACCCCCAGCTCTGGCACCTCTGATAACACTGTGCTTTGTCTCCTCGAGCTGCCCTCCGCATCTTCTGTTCATTTCTCTAACGCCAGCATTTCTACCCTTTACTTTGGCTTCTCCTTGTACTAACACAGTTTTCAGGGTCTCTGAAAATTCACCCTCCAGTAAATTAGTGCCCCCTCTACTTACCCCCCAGTTCCAAGCCCAGATGTGCCCTCACATCAGCTCCAGAGCCCCTCCTTAACCTCTCCCACTGCAGGAAGTGGCCAGAACAGAAAAGCACCTGATGAGAGCACAGGTGCCTTCTCCATCAGGGAACCTGAAGACCTGTCAGGATAACTAGGGAGCTCCCCGGCAGAAGGTTCGAAACCCACCAAGGTCTTTACACGCGTCGCCAGGTGCGGCACTAGCCTGGGAAGACATGAGCACTCGTCTCACCTTGCACCTGCCAAGGAGCAAGGCCGACATAAAGAGCACATGTCTGCCTGCCTTCAGCCTTCAACAGGACTGCATCTCGACAGCAGGAACACATTCTCACTGCTGGACTGACAGGCAACATCATGACGGATGGAGAAGAGATTGAAACTATCAACAGCTTCATCGTACGCAGTTCTACAACCGACACACTTGGGACCAGCAGTCAGGGACCTCTCCCAATTACTGAGGAGCAATGATGTCAGTCTGAGGACTAAGGTACGCCTGATTTGGGCCACAGTCTCTGCAATCACTTGCCATGCTGCTGAGAGCTGGACAATTAATGAGGATGACAGAAGGACTGATGTTTCTGAGCTGTGGTGTTGGAGTACTGAATACCCCATGGACCGCCAAAGGAACATAGAGGTATGTACTGGACAAGGTGCAGCCGGAGTGCTCCTCGGAGGCAAAGATAAAAGCTTCACGTCACATCCTCTGGGATATTGCTCGGAGAGGCTGTTCCTTGGAGAAGGACATCATGCTTGGGGAGGTGGGAGGACGGTGAAAGAGATGAAGACCCTCAAACAGATACACTGACCCAGTGACCGCCGCAAAGGGCTCGAGTGTCTCAGAGACGGTGGGGAGGGCACAGCACAGGGCATGGTGCAGATCTGCGCTTCAGCGTCACGAGGAGTTGAACTTGACTCAAGGGCGCATAACAAGAAGGCAGTAAGACTGGTGTTGCCATGAGTATAAAGAGGTATGGGAGTGTGGTGTGCATGTCTGACCTCACGGGCATTGGTTTTGTTACTGATGCTGTCGACGGGGACAGTTCCCCTTGGTGAAGCCGGGAAAGGCCAGGATGGCATCCTTACGTGGTTCTTGCTCTTTTTACAGGGGCCTTTGAGTCAGTTATTACTCACAGACCCCCTATGACTAAGAGATGACAGTCTTAGCCCATCCTGCCCAGTCCTCATGATCTGACATGCCCACGCCCACTGTCACAATCACCTTCTCAATCCACGTGGTTGAGGGTCTTCCTCTTTCTCTGCCCTTCCACTTTTCCAAGCAGAGTATACGTACAGACTGTAGCAAAGCTAAGGGTGCTCCCCACCCAAAGGTACGCAGTTTGAATCCACTCTCTGCAGAAGAAGGATGGGCAATCGCCTGTGAAATTTATTGCCTCTGAAAACCTGCTGGGAGGTCAGTTATGAGTCAATTCCAACTTGACCAGACTTAACAGCAACATGGCAAACCTAGAGAACTTTTTTTGCCTACCCCTGCGTCTTGCATGTCACCTCTGAACTTGAACCAGTGGCCTGCCATACTTGCTCACCTTGGACTGTCAGTCTCCAAAGTCAGCAGTCTGCAGCTCCCCGGATTCCTTTCTCATGAGGTCTGACACACAGGCCTGGGACTTGGCAGCCCACGAGCCACTTCCTGGAAATCAACCCCTCTCTCCCATGCTTGTTGTTGGTTTTTTGTGCCATCAAGTCAAAACCAACCAATAACTGATCCTCCACCGGGTTCTAAGAGGCAGTGAATCGCTTGGGAAAAGACTGCCCATCCTTTTCCTGTGGTGCAGCTGGTGGGTTCAAATCTCGTGTCTTTGGAATTGCAGCAGTTTCTCTCTCTCTGTGTGTGTGTGTGTATAAATATATATAAAGACATGGCTGTCAAGCTAGAACTGACTCATACTTGGCCCTCTACTGAGTTTCTGAGGCTGTAAATTGCACAGATGGCCCGTTTTTCTCCTGCAGAACTGTGAGTTCATTGTGGGAGAGGTGGGAACTCTGGGGTAGCAGTGCACCTCCCTGCGGACAAGCCACCACAGCTCCCAATGTAGAAATACATGCACATGTATTCAAATAGAAAAGTGCCACTGTTTAGGGTGCTCTGGGGGACCCCGCTCGAGACAGTGAGCACAGCAATGTGAGGTCTTCCAGCCCTCTGCCCTCCACCTGGAAATTCACACCTGACAACAAGCAGCAGCCAAACGTGAACAGGACAGTTTATTCTGATGTGGGCGTCCACCCTGGAGGGCTGCATGGCCTGTGAAATGGCAGAACAAAGCAGTGGCCATCTCCCCACTGGCCCTCCCCCCCGACTCTTCCTGCCATCTGGCTCAGGTGAGCCCCCTCATCTGCACTGGAGGTTGGACAGCTCCAAAGAGTCACCGTCCTATTGTTTCTGGGCACAATGCATTTTGTCATGACTTATGGTGACCCCTTTTGACAGCAGAACTGTCACAGGTTTCCTGGGTGGTCATGTTTATCGAAGGAGCACAGTGCATGAAGCATTTGGCTGATTAAAGTCACTGGTTCAAACACACCAGCTGATCTGAGGGGCAAAGATGAGGCACTGCTTCTGAAGATCACAGACCAGGAAACCCCATGGAACTGCTGACTCTTCTACAGGGTCAAGGTCAGGAGGGAATCTTCTCAGAGCTGTGATCAGTGCCTTCAGAAGGGACCCGTGTGGGGCCGTGGTCAGGTACAATCTGCTTGGGCCACAGTCAGTGGGATCCACTGGGGCCGTGGTCAGAGAGGGTCCGTTCGAGGCCTTGGTTGGGAGGGGTCCACTTGGAGCCACAGCCCGCTTGGGGCCAGTCAGGTGGGATCCACTCAGGTCCGTGGTCAGGTGGGATCACTCAGGAGGGATCTGCTCACGGCCGTGGCCAGGTGGGATACGCCTGGGGCTGTTGTCAGGAGACCCACTAGGGTCGCTCCATGGCAGTGCCTTTTGGGGACTCTTTGAAGGAAGCAGATGGAACCGCTGGCCTTGCTCCTGGTGACCGTGTGATTCAGAGTGGAGCTGGGCTCCCCGTGCGGGTTTCCAACACTGACTTCTCAGAGGCAGACTGCCAGGCTAGTCTTCTGTGGCATCTCTGGTGGGTTCGAACCACCAACCTTCTGGCAAGTAGTTGAGCATGTAACTGTCTGTGCATCCAGGGACTCAAAGGCTTTTCGGAGGCACTCCAGGTGGTGGTAAATGAGGCTGAGCAGGAAGGAAAGCCTCGTGGACACCTACCTCTAGGGCCTTTCAGGGAGCGCCGGTGGCCTAGTGGTAAGGAGCTGTGAGCCAAGGTGAAGGCACGGGTTTCAAATCCACCAGTTGCTCCTCAGGAGGAAGGGGGGCGGTCGCTTCCTGTGAGACTCACTGCTTCTGAAAACCCCTGTGAAGGGTCAGTTCCTTCATTCACACCCAGCACAATAACTGTCCCCCAGTACATGCGCATCGGGGAGGTCTGAAGGGACAAGGAGTGGAAGGAGGCTGGGTCCCAGTCACAGCTCTTGTGGAAGAGGAACCTAGCAGGTGTCCTGGGGAGCTGATGGTCTCCAGGGAGGGGACGCCTGCCAGGAGCAGCTCTGAGCTCTGTGGTCTCCAGGCAACTGCAAGTGCTTTAAAAGCAAAGTGGACTTTTCTGTTTGCTCACGGTCAACACTGAGGAGGAGTCCGAGGCTCAGGGAGGCTGAGACCCGCAGTGGCTACCTGAGAATGAGGGAGAGAGAAAACTAAAGGTCCATTTCAGGGAGTCCAAAGTCCACAGAGGCTGCGTCCACTGAGCTGCTTGGGCTTTGAAAACAGACGCTGACGTCTGAAACCGTTGCTGCCCAAGTTCGTGGGTCTGCATGTTCTTCCATGGCAGCAGCGGGGCCTGGTGGTGGCCACGGCACTCAGAGGGCAGCAGGTGGGCCTGAGGGTGGCCAGGGCACTCAGAGGGCAGCAGGCAGGCCTGAGGGTGGCCAGGGTCTTCAGAGGGCAGCAGCTGGGACTGGTGGTGGCCAGGGCACTCAGAGGGCAGCAGCTCAGCCTGGTGGTGGCCAGGGCACTCAGAGGGCAGCAGGTGGGCCTGAGGGTGGCCAGGGCACTCAGAGGGCAGCAGGCAGGCCTGAGGGTGGCCAGGGTCTTCAGAAGGCAGCAGCTGGGACTGGTGGTGGCCAGGGTGCTCAGTGGCACATCCTTGCAGTCATTTCCTTCTGTTGGGAACAAATGCTGAGGTCAGATTCCAGCAGAGACTCACACGGAAATGACAGAAATAACACATAAAATTTATACAAAGAAAATGAACAAGAGAATACTATAGGACAAGGGTCAGCTTTTTTTTTTAAAGGACCAGAGAGGTCGATTTGAGCTTTGCTGGACACATGGCAACGCCACTCCTGAAGAATGAAAGCAGCCAGAGACAATGCGTCTCTGCATGGACCCAGTCAGGTGCCAATAAAACTTTATTGACAAAAGCAGACCTCTGGCCCTCGGGCTGCAGCTGGCTGGCCCTGCCTTCTGTATAAATAATTGATCAGACACCAGGACAAAATTCCGAATGCAGCCTGGAGAGAATGACAAGGGCCTTAGGCTGCCTTTAGACCCAGTCGACTCAGCCTTGAAATCAATGACCAGGGGGACAGAGCTGGATGCCTGAGGCACCTGCTGTTATCTATGCCTGGAAAACCTCCTTACTTGGGGCTCAACGCCAGCTCTGAAGGTCATCTAGAAACACAGGGGAAAGCTATCCACTCAGTACTCGATCCTCCAACTTCTTCCAGAAGCATCTCCCAAGCATCAGTATGGGAGAACTGATGATGCCAAGAGTACTGACGACTTTATAAAGGTGAGCCCAAGGTTGCACACTAGAATTTACCTCGAGGGAGATGTTTCCTTACAGCAAGGTCCCTAAGGAAGATGTTACGTGCAGATTGTTTCGTGTGTTGTGTTCTTTTAAATATGGAACGCTTCACGAATTTGCGTGTCATCCTTGCGCAGGGGCCATGCTAATCTCTGTATCATTCCAATTTTAGCATATGTGCTGCCGACGTGAGCACAAGATTTCATTTTAAAAAAGAAATTTAAAAGTTGTGAAAGCAACAGACTTTGTTGCAAGCTGAGAGTCAGTGGGTGGTGGAGGAGCTGCTACCAGCACAGCCCACCAGCCTGGATCGTTGCAGGTTTGTGGACTATCACAACGTCACACAGATGTCCACAGAGGAAAGCGGAGAGGCTTCTCTGTCCCTCGTGATGGATTCAAGTGTGTCCCTCCCAAATCTGTTAGACTCCTCACCCCTCTAGCTGTGGGTGAGGCCCCACGCGGGATCAGGGGTAAGGAGGGGATATCAGGAGCAGGATGGACACAGAGACAAGGAAGCAGCAACAGAGCGGGGGGCAGATGCCAGGCGGAGATCACCATGGAACACTGGGGCTCTAGAAGCTCAGAGGGGCTCACCCCCCAGCACCCTAAGTTCTTATGGCATTTACACAGCATTGGGGGGCTGTAGACACCCCTTGGACACCCGCCTGGAGGCAGCGCCCTGCTCTTACTTGTGGCAGTTCGGATCCCACCGCCTGTCCTCATCACCAGTCTGAGCTGCAGTGGGACAGAGTAGGACCCCTTTGGTGACACTGCTGGCCCTCACCAGCAATGGCAGTGGCGGTCACAGGACAGTTTACAGAAGCTATACGGCCAGGGAGCTCCTGAGGCATGGCCTGCAGTGAGCTGTACCGCTAATCCAAAGGGTACACAGCGCCTGTGGTTAGACTCTACCTGCAGCTCTGCAGGAGAAAGAGGCAATTTCTTCCCACTCCCAGCCCTGGAAACCCGACGGGGTTAACAGAATTCAAAACCAGGTTGACAGCAGTGATTTTTGGCTCGATGGCTGGTGGTAGGAGCCCCCTAGAGCTCTCTGAATGACCCCACTTTTACGATGGGGTGCAGATAAACCAGCCTGGCATGGCAGAAAGCAGGGCACAGAGGGCAGGGGTGAGGAGGGGCACTGGCAGCACAGGGCTCTCAAGAGGATGTGCTGAAGTGAGAGGCACTGGGTGCACAGAGCTGTGGATGTGGGAGCACAGGCTTCAACCTGCACGATGGTGGGCTGGTGGGTTTCAGGGTGCACAGATCTGTGGACGTGGGAGCACGGAGGGTGTCCTGTGCGATGGCTGAGCAGTGGACTTCGGGGGGTGAACATTAGGGACTGAGGTGCGTCCCCACATGTGTTGTGAAGGTAAACAGAGTGGGGACTAGGCTGTCTGTTAACGTGACCACCGTGGAATGTGTCTTAAGCCACCTCTGACGAAGGAGGAAGGAAGCACAGACGGGAGACACAGATGCCGTGTGGTGACCACCAAGGAAGCGGGGGAGGGAGGCTGCAAAGGGACAGGACCCTTCGGTCCCCCAGAGCCACCGAGAGAGCCCTCCCTGGAGCCGGAGACCTGAAGTTGCACCTGTGGCCTCCAGAACTGCGAGGTTTCCTGCTGTTACAGTCGCCCTCTTGTGGTCTTCCTGTTACAGCCGCACCAGGAAACAGGACGCTCAATCTGAGCTGAAGAAAAATCATGCCTTGCTCTGCGGCCCAGGCTGAAGGTGGCATGGAAAGACCTCTCTGTAAACTAAGGGTGCGGGTGCTGGGATGGGACGTGGGTCTCCAGCGGCCAGCTCCTCCCGCAGGCACAGGGGGCGGGGGCCGGAGCTAACGGGGCAGTGGGGAGAGCCTTCCCTTCTCTGAGTGGGGGTGACATCCCAAGATTTAGGGGCATGCTGTGTGGTGGGTGTGGGGGTCATCAAGGTGAGAAAGCAGCAGCAGGGGTGTCCATCCTTTCCAGAGCTCAGGTCAGGAGCTAGGCCATTCCTGCCCAGTCCCCCTGCCCACAGGCATGCCCGTCTCAGCACGGGGCAAAGCACTCCTTGTCGGGCACAAGGCCTTTCCCCACAGAGGAATGGCAGGGCCGCCCTCAGTGACTCCGGAAGCCTCTCCCACCTCACGGATCGGGCCCTGTGCTGTCATCTGCTTCCTACTGTGGTAATTCACTGGGTCCGCGCTGGAAGCAGGAGCGGCATCCCCTTCCTGAACAACACGCCGCTGGAAACTCTATGCACTTCGATAACTGATGACAGTTATCGAAAGGCTTCAGGCTTTTGGTTCATGGGGTCACTATGCGTCATGCTCCACTCGATGGCAATCAACAACGACAACAACAACTGATGTCGATGAGGCGGGGGAGCCCCTGTAACGATTGCAGCCTGTAAGAGGTGGGGCCTTCTGCTGCTGGGGACAGCTCCCCCATGTCATCTGTGGAGACCTGGGAGCTGCCTTTTCTTTCCATGCATCCTGACCCTCCCTCCTGGAGTCCTAGCCCTGCCCTTAGTGCTGTGACAGTTCCCCGAAAGGTCCCTGAAGGCTGACCCGTGGACATCTGCACGTCCTTCTCCAGCCGGCAGAGGTTCCGAGCAGACAGTGGTGCACAGCCCACACCCCCGGCCCGCGCCCCTCACCAGCGGCTCCAGCTCCTTGGTGTCGATGAGGCCGAACTCCTTGACAAAGTAGTAGAAGTGCTTGTAGCAGGTGTTGACGTGCGCCTCGGAGCCCATCTGGGCGATGCGGTCGAAGTGGTGGATGTACACGTGCACGAAGACGCGGAAGAGCCGCGACAGGATCTTCTTCGTCACCTGCAGGAAGTTCTTCGGGAACGGCGTGCCTGGGGGGAGCGGCAGCGTGAGGCCGGGGTCCCCTCTGCGGGCCCCTCCAAGGGCTCAGAGCACGAGCCCCAGGGCATACTGCCAGCCCCCCGGGCCCCAGGCTCCCCTGAGTGAGCACTGGACGTGGAGCTGGGGTCCCCCTCGCTGATGATGAAGTCCTTTCTCTATGGCCCCTCACGGTGCAGGGTCAGGCTGACCTCTCCCATGCTGTCCTGTGCGGGTGTGCTCACGTCTCCCGACCTCAGCCAGTGCGGTCCCCACACCCGAGCATCCCCGCCCTTCCCACTGTTGGCTGACCGGTCCCTCCCCTTCCTGTCGATGCCCCCCAGGATCTCACTCTCATCAGCTGGGGTCGAGGAAGGGCACAGAAGGAGCTGAGACCCCTGGCAGCGACACCCGGCAGAGGCTCAAGGTCTCAGCCCCGTGAAGGTGGGGAAGGGACACATGTAGGGGGTCCACACAGGGTCAGAAACAGCCCTTCTCAGCCCCACCCCATGAGCACATGGCCTCATCGGGACCAATCAGCACTCTGTCTTCAGACCCGGGGTAGGAGGCCCACCAGCCCCCAAGAAGGCCACGTTCAAGTCCCGGGACCGGAGACCATGCTCACTCCCACGGCAAAGGCGGGCCCCTCTGCTTGTGGTACAAACAGCTCGGTGCCTGACTGTTCCCCCGAAGGTTGGTGGTTCTAACCCAGCCGGAAGCACTGAGAAGGCAGGCCAACCAATGAAAGCCGACAAGCTGCTCCGCCTGTGACACAGGCCCCAGAGCAGCAGAAACACACGGCGGCCAGAAGGGGTGTGAGGGGGGGCCAGGCGATGGTGCCGGATGACACGGCCGTGTCCCAGGAGTCCCGCACACACACCCCCCGTGCCCTCCAGGCGGTTCCTGCTCATCCTGACCCGTGTCCGAGCTGCCCACAGGTGGACTTCGGAAGGAGGTCCGGGCACTTCCTCGGAGCGGCCTCTGGGCAGGCTTGAACCCACAATCCTGGATTTGGCCTATTAACTGTTTGCACCAGTCACGCACTAATCAACTTCCTTCCACTGTGATGGGTTCGTCTCAGCACCCAGGGAGGGGACGTGGGCGGTGGGGCAGAGCCGGAAGGGGCTCCCCAGCTGCTCTGAGGACACAGCAAGGGGCTCGAGGTCAGGGACGCGGCCTCTACAGCTGACCAGCAGGAGGCAGCTCTCCGTGGAGCCCCTGACCTCAGCCCTGAGACCCTGTCGACTCCCACCCAGGACTGTGAGGTCACGCATGTGTGGGAGCAGGCATCCAGCCAAGGCCATTGGTTCCAGCATTTCTGGGCAACTCAGCCTCCCGGTCCACACATGTCCCTCTTACGACAGCAGCCACCGGTCCACACGTGCCCCTGTCCCTCCTGAGATGGGATACTCTATCCACTCATGCCCCTGTCCCTCCTGTGAAAGGACACCCTGTCCACACTTGTCCCCTCTGTAGCAGTGGACCCCCTATCCACACCTGTCCCCTGACCCTCCTGTGACAGTGGACACCCCACCCACAGCTGTCCCCTCTCTCTCCTGTGACAGTGGACACCCCGTTCACACCATCCCTTGTCCCTCCTGTGACAGGGGACACCCCATCCATGCCTGTCCCCTGTCCCTCCTGTGACAGTGAACATCCCATCCACACTTCACCCTCCTGTGACAGGGGACATCCTGTCCACACCTGTCCCCTCTTTCTCCTGTGAGAAAACACCCCAGTCACATCTGTCCTTTCCCTCCTGTGACAGTGGAAGTGGGGAGAGTGTGGTGACATCAGCAGCACTGTCATTAATGTCATAAAACAATGTGTGTGAAGGGCTGAATGGAAAGCCAAACAGCTTCGTAAACTTTCCTTCAAATCATAATAAAGAGGGAAACAGGGGGAAGAAAATAAACCCACCGCTGTTGAGCTGGTTCCAGCTACTGGGTCACCCACCCCCCAGCTTCCGGGGCTGCAGTTCTTGACGGGAGGAGCCTCGGGGTGCTGGTGTTAGAGCCCCGCGGGGGGCAGCGTCAGAGGCTTTCCCGCTCTAACAAGGACTAGGGACCCCCGGCGGGTCCAGCCCTCCGGCCTCACACACCACTGAGGAGCCACCAGGCCTGACGCTCTCTTGGTAAAGACGCAGACTGCACCGTGGTCTCCTCTGATGACAGGTCTGTCTTCCCGAAATGCCCCGTGACTAGGGGGCAGCCTGCCAGCCTCCGCACCCCTCCTTCTGGAGGAACCGTGAGGTAAGTGGGCCTCAGGGTCCAAGGGGCAGGTGGGACCTCCTCTGAGGCTCCAGGAGCACACGGTGACCACAGCTCAAGCAGTGACACACAGAGTCCTTGACGAGACCAGAGGGAGGCTGAGCAGATGGACCGAGGCCGTGATCCCGGACAGACCTCTCCTGGGCAGTGACCTGGCCACACCAGTGTCCTCAACTCCTGTCAAGGACGAGTGTGTGGGCTTCCATGTGGCTCTAAGGCAAGTCCAGCCTTCAGAGCGAGAACTTTCTTCTGCTTTAGCTGGGACATTTAGCTTCTGCCTGCCTGTCCCAGGGAATCGTCCACGGAATGAAACAGGTTTCCCCAGAAGCTCACACACATGCTCAGAGCACAAGAAAAACAGCCCAAGTCAAGAGTCCATTAGCAGGACACAGCCTGGTCCGTCCACACGCCGGACGTAAATCTGCTACTAAGAGCCCCTCCAAAGTGCTGAAGAGCAAGGATGTGAGCTTGAAGACTAAGGCACAGTGATCCAAAGCCAAGGCGTTTTCAATTGCTTTCCACACACGTGGAAGTTGGAGAGAGAATGAGGAAGACAGAAGGAGAATCGACGCCCCTGAACTGTGGTGTTGGAGAAGTGTATTCCCAGGACGGTCACAGGAACAGACAAGTCTGTCTTGGAGGAGCTGCAACTCCGGTGCCCCACAGAGGCAAGGGTGGTCAGAAAGAGCCAGTCCTTGGGAAAGGTGAGTCAGAGAGAAGACCCTCACTGGGACACACGGACAGTGACCACAAGGGGCGTCCAGAGTCCGTGAGGACGGCCAGGCCCAGGTGGACTTTCAGGGCCTACGTGGAGTCACTAGGAGTTGGAGCTGATGCAAAGGTTGGTTCCTACAACCAACAAGAGGAACAAGGCTGTGAAACACACCCCAACATGCGTGAACGTGGGGTGAAGGGTTTAGTCTTCAAAATGGCTTCCCTATCCATTAACTTGCTTTGCAATGTGGATGGGCGGGAATATGCAAATAGTGTGCGTTAACCTATCCCCAAGGGGACTGACCAGTCTCGTCCATCCCCAAGGGGACTGATCAGTCAGGTTCATCCCCAAGGGGACTGACTCATCTTGTCCATCCCCAAGGGGACTGACTCATCTTGTCCATCCCCAAGGGGACTGACTCATCTTGTCCATCCCTAAGGGGACGGACCAGTCTTGCCACTAAATTAAGCAGATCCAACAGCAAAACTGCAGTCTCACCACCAGCAAAGGAGAAGCAGACATGCAGTGAGCTCCCTTCAGGACCAGGCGATCAGACGATCTTGTGCCACCCAGATGTGCAGTAGCAGCAGCAGTGGCCGCAGAAGAGGACCAGAGGCTCAATGCGACAGACCTGACCTTGGGACTGCTACACCTCCACAGAACCAGCACTAAGAGCCTTTGCCCAAGTTCACTGGAGGAGGGAGGAGGAGGAGAGCCAACACGGGCAGAGCTCAGAGCTTTCGAACACTGGCTTAAACACAAGGCTCAGGCCGAGACACCTCTGTGCACATTTCAGAAGCTGTCCTGACTGCATTCTGCTACTAACCTGGAGTATAAATAGTGTTTTGGCTTCCCCAGGATAATTCTGTGGGGTCTGTGAGCCACCGCATTGGATTTTGGACCCACTCTGAAAACCCTATGTACAACAGAACACATTTAGATAACAGAAACGGCAAAGGA